CACTTTTACGGGGTCGACAGAAGTAGGACGACTAGTGATGCAAGCAGCAGCACAAAGCAACTTGAAACCTGTTTCGTTAGAACTTGGAGGCAAATCCCCTTTTATAATCTTTGACGATGTCGATGTCGATAAAATTGCCGATCTTGCTCTCATGGCAGTTCTATTTAACAAGGCAAATTAACTCCTCACCCTTTCTCAATCTTGTATTTTTCCATGATCAATAGTTTAATTTGTGTACTTATCCATCATTTTTGCAGGGTGAGGTCTGTGTGGCCGGTTCACGTGTGTTTGTTCAAGAAGGAATATATGATAAGTTTGTTCCAAAATTGGTAGAAAAGGCAAAGAAATGGGTGGTTGGTGATCCTTTTGATCCAAATGTTCATCAAGGACCTCAAGTACCTCCATAATTAACTACTTTCATTATATGTGTATTCTTCAAGCTATATATACTTCATCTTTTACAGATCTCAGTTGTGTTTCTTGTTTTTGTCCACCAACTTTTGAACAGGTCAGTAAAAAACAGTATGAAACAATTCTTTCATTCATCGAAAAGGGTAAGAAAGAAGGTGCCACATTGTTAACAGGCGGTAAGCCAATGAACATGAGAGGTTACTATATTGAACCGACAATTTTCACAGACGTAACAGTAAGCATTTTTCAAATCCACTTTCTTAACCCTTTAAAAAAAATTTACAGAGTTTTCGGAGATTCTTGAATCTACCTTATGTGCTGTATTTTTTTTTTTCCTTAGGATGGTATGACTATAGCGAAGGAAGAAATATTCGGACCTGTGATGTGTGTTATGAAGTTCAAGTAAGCACACTTCCATCTTTCCTTATTTATTAAGCACACTTCCATCTTTCCTTATTTATTCAATATAAAAGCGAACCGAAGATAAAATTATAATTATGAGTTTTCGGTTGACACAGGACAATGGAAGAGGTGATCAAGAGAGCAAATGACACTAAGTATGGGCTAGCAGCTGGGATTATGACAAACAACTTGAATATTATGAACACAGTTTCAAGATCAATTCGTGCGGGAGTTATTTGGGTAAATTGTTACTTTGCATTCGACAGAGACCTTCCTTATGGGGGTTACAAAATGAGCGGTTTTGGGAGAGATTTGGGGATGGATTCTCTTGATAGCTATTTGCAGGTCAAATCAGTTGCCATGCCTATTTATAACTCTCCCTGGCTCTAAATGTGATCTATTTGTGTACTTGTGTGTTGTGAATAGCTTCTGCTTTCTCCCTACTGAGGAGTGACTTTCAGGTCCACCATCTGATATTGTAAAAGTTGCTTGCACTGAACTTCACTACTCTTACCTATTAAGCTCTTGTACTTCATGAAGATTTTATATATGTTTGTATCTTATTAGTGTTCCTAGCCTCTATGTGATGAAATTATTATTTCAAAAATTATGAAATATAAATCTTGGCAGAAGCATGACATATTCTTGAGATTAAAGGTATAATCCATACTATCATAAAGAAAAATGCTACATTACCAACCTAGTGTACAACTAGGTTGACAACACAAGTGAAAACAGTCACTTATGTGATTTTTTATTTTTATTTTTTTGAATGTTTTCACTTGTGTTGTCAATCTAATAGTATACTATGTTGGCAATGTAGCATTACTTTATTATAAAAGGAGAAATTATTTTCTAAAAAATTGCACGGACTGAAAAATCCTTATGTTTATAGTATTTTTAATGGTAAAACTGTAATAATCATTATGTGACTCAATGAATTATAATTACAATTAAATATCTTAATAATGTAGGATTCTAACAAAAATAAAACTCTTTCAAAAATAAAACCTAGACAAAACAGATTTAAGAAGGTAAACAAAATATTAGCTTATCAATAAAGAAAAAAATTAATAAAGGAGATGCGAACTATTTCAATAAGATTGAATTGCAATAAAATATATTCCTAAGTAGTATGTAAAACAAATAAAATAAGAGGGAAACTACAATCCTCAAAACAAATAAAATAAGAGGGAAACTACAATCCTCAATTTCACAACATACAATATTAGGTATAAGATATTATAATATATATCTAAATGTATATTGTTTTCACATTACTAATTACATAAATACATTTCATAATAAACAAAGTTGATAGAACATAATTATATAAACTTTACATGAAACAAATAACATGGCACATAAAACTATGCAAATATTTTTTTTTCATAAAAATAGAGTATCAAGTATGACATATGAGGAAAAAAAAAAAAACACACATATATATATATATATATATATATATATATATATATATCATTCCATTAACCCCCTATAGCATATGTAGTTATGTATAATTATTTACAATTTAATTCAATTTTTTTTTTGTTTGCCAGAACGATAGGAGTAGTATTACTAAAATGGAGCGAACAATGTCCGAGTACAATGGGCAAAGCCCTACCAAATGAAAAAAAAAATAAAACTGAGAGGTACTATAGTAAGTACCTAGAACCTCAAATACTAAAACCAAGATAAAAAAAAGAACTATGTATCTCTCCACTGCCATAAGGCCTAGCTAGAATACATAATCCCAAATACAGAAAAGGAAAAGAAAAGCAACTAACAGAAACAAACTACCAAACTCCCTACCCTACACAGCCTGAAGAAGCACCTGCAGCTGTAGAGAATTCGATCCAATCTTTGTGTGCAGCTTCAAGTACTATGTGGTCCGACATCAGAGATTAACACCCAATGATTCCTGGATTTCCAAAGCCATCACAGCAAGTAGGTGGACAATTGGATTCTATCCTTCACCAACTCTATCTGGTTGATGGAACTGATTTGGTTCCACCAAGCTTTAAAAGAGTATGTATGATTTTGAAGCCCATCCCATTGCACCTGTGCTTTGTCCCATATCCTAACTGATCTTGTGCATGAAAACAGTAAGTGCTCTACTGTCTCTGGAAGGTCTCCACAAATGGAGCAAATGGGATTGATGTCTACTCCTCTTTTCCTCAAGTTTACTGCAACTGGAAGAATGTCTGAGATGCATTTCCAGATGAAATGTTTGAGCTTTCCTTGGATTTTCAAGTGCCAGCATCTGTTGAAGATTAGCTGATTGTTGATGTTGCTTGAACTTGACTCAGGAATATCCAGCTGATTGATCTTTTGGGCTGCAAGGTTCTTGTAAGTACTGGCAACAGAAAACTGACTCTTAGGGCAGATACCCCAGAGCCACCTATCAGGTCTTGATGGATTCAGGGTGTTAATGTTGAGGATTGCTGAGCTGTCTTCAGAATCAAAGACGTGATCCACAAGCCAAGTATTCCATTCCTTCCCTTCATTAAACATCAAGTCCTTAACCCAAATCAGATGTCCCCTAGCAATGTCAATCAGAATGGGATGTGGCTTTTTTAACTCTGGCACCCAATTCAAATCTTCAATTTTTGTTGATGAGCCATCCCTGATTTCAATTTTCACACATTTAGCAAAAAAAGGCATCACAGATAACCAGCTGTTCCATAACCAGGATCCTCTTTGTGTTTTCTCTGCTTTCAGAATGGAGCTATCAGGAAAATACCTGTCCTTAGGAATTTGGCTCACTAAGAGGTTAGGATTTGTGGCAATCCTCCAAAGCTGTTTACAGATTAAAGTTTTATTAAATAAGCAGATATCAAGGAATCCCAGACCACCATTGAGTTTAGGAAGAGTTACTCTTTCCCATGCCCTCCAGTGGATACCAGGAGTGCCTTGATCTCCAGATTTCCACCAAAAAGCAGCACAGAGTTTTGAGATTTCTTTGCAGACAGAAGCTGAAATCTTGAAGCAGGTCATTGAGAAGATAGGCAAAGCCTGTAGGACAGACTTGATTAGGACCTCTTTGCCTGCTGTTGATAGTAGCTTGTTTTTCCAATTCTGCAACTTGGTTCTGACTGATTCCAGTATGTAATCAAATACCTCTTTCTTAGACCTTCCAATGCCCAAAGGTAACCCGAGGTACCTAGTGGATCTATGAGGGACTATTCCTTGGAGGACACTGCAGATCCTATCTCTCAGTGCTTGAGGAGTGTTTCTACTGAAGAATATTCTTGATTTCGGCAAATTCACTCTCTGGCCAGAGAAAAGCATATACTTCTCCATTAGAGCTAAGAGATGTCTGGCTTGATCAACCCCTGCTTTGCTGAATAGCAGAGAGTCATCAGCAAATAGCAAGTGAGAGATAGCAGGCCCATTCTTTGAAAGTTTGAGACCATGGATATGACCTTGCTGTTGTGATCTTGTGATCATGGCTGATAGCAACTCAACAACTATTATGAATAGGTAGGGGGACAAGGGGTCCCCCTGTCTGATCCCTCTAGAAGGTGTGATGTAGCCACTCACATTACCATTAACTTTAAATGAAATCGATGAGGTTGAAACACATACCATAATCAGCTTAATGAAGTCTGAGTGGAATCCCATTTGAGTCATTATCCTGTGTAGGCAGTGCCACTCTACCCTGTCAAATGCCTTCATAAGGTCCAACTTCAGTGCCATGAAATAATTTGGGCCTGTGGAATGTCTGTTGAGGAAGTGAAAGGATTCTTGAGCTATGATGACATTGTCCATTAGTTGCCTTCCTTTCACAAAGGCAGATTGGTGGGGGCTTATGCAGCAGTTGAGGCAGGTCATTAGTCTTTGAGCCAGGATTTTTGACAGAGTTTTGTAAATCACACAGCATAGGCTGATGGGTCTGAATTGGCTCAAGGTTTCTGGGTGAGGCACTTTTGGGATTAGGGACAAGATAGTGTGGTTCCAGTACTTCAAAAGCAGTCCAGAATGGAAGAAACTGAGCAAGGCCTCTAAGACATCAACTTTGATAATGTTCCAGCAGTGTTGATAGAACAAGGCGCTCATTCCATCTTCCCCTGGTGACTTGTCTGGGTGGAGAGAGAAGAGAGCTGTTTTCACTTCTTCTTCGGTGACTGGTTTCAAAAGATCTAGGTTCATGTCCTCAGAAATGGTTTTGGGGATTAGAGGTATGATGGATTCCCCATCCCAACTTCCTTCAGTGTGGAAAAGTTCAGAGTAGAAATCTGAGATGTGGCCCTCAATGTCCTTCTGGGTTGTAATAAGTCTGGAGATTGCATTAAGCTTCCTTTTTTGAAGAGTATATGCATGGAAGAATTTGGTGTTTCCATCTCCTTCTTTTATCCATTTCAGCCTTGACCTTTGTTGCCAGTATAGCTATTCTTGTCTGTGGGCTGCATTAAGGTCTTTCCTAGTGTTGTTCCACTGCTCCCAATAGTTATCTGACTTGTCTTCTTCCAATGCTTCCAGCCTCTTGGATAAACTCTCTATCTTTAATTGATTCTGGGTTTTGTGTTTAGAGCTCCAGATTAATAAAGCTGCCCTTGTCCTCTTAACCTTCTCTTTAAGCCTGTAGAAAGGGGTGCCTTCAGTGTGCTGAGCCCATGCTGCTTCAAATGTTTCCTTGAACCCTTTCATCCCTATCCACCTTCTATCAAAGTGGAATCTTGTTGTTTTCTGTTGTTGTTGTTGACCCATGTTCAGAAGTAATAGAGAGTGGTCTGATGAGCTTCTGGCCTTGTTCAACACAGTTGCATTTGGAAAGGCTTGAGTCCATTCCATAGAAGCAAATGCTCTGTCCAATTTTTCCTCTACCAATCCTTCGTCACTCCTCATGTTGCACCAAGTGTATTGATAACCCAGCATTGGTAGTTCATCCATGGCCATGTTGTTTATAAATGAGTTGAACTCTATTAAACTTTTACTGCTCCTCTTGTTGCCCCCTGCTTTCTCATTTGCATTCCTGAGATCATTCCAGTCTCCTAGTGTAAACCAGCTATTGCCCCATTGGATCTTGTCTGCAATCATCTCTTCCCACTGTGAAGCTCTGATCTGTTTGCAGGTACTTAAGTAAACAAAAATGCCCCATTGAGATTGGGCTGTTCCCATAACAAATTCAACAGCAATATAGAAAGGTTTTTTAATAACTTGAATAATATTTACATTGGAATCCCAGAAAAGAAGAAGGCCCCCACTTAAACCTACTGGGTCCACAAAAGCTAATCTATCATCATACCCTAATTTCCTAACTACTGACTTAACAAAGCCACTGGTTTTTTTGTTTCTGAAATAAAAAAGAAAACAGGGTGGTGAGCCTTAATGGTCTCTCTGATTTGGAAAATTGTAGAGGGCCCACCCAGCCCTCTACAGTTCCACACCGCAGCTAGCATTGGTCACTTGGGCGCCACTTGAGGCTGGCCACCCCCACCTGCTGAGATTCTGATTTTTGCCTCTTGTTCTCCTCCTGAGCCTTCTTGCTAGGACTACCTTCTTCTATGGCTTCATCAAATGTTTCCCTGGTTCTCTTGCCTTGCTTACTATCCTCCTTAGTTGGAGAGGTGCTTCCCCTTCTTTGAAGTCTACCAAGTCTGGATGAGGATCTCTTCCACATTTTAGGGACAGGGTAATGGGAACAGGTTTTAGCTAATTGCTGAGAAGTGTTATTTGGAATTAAAGTTTGAGGAATTTCAATTTCCATATCTTTGTTGAGACTCTGCAGTTGTAGGATGTGAGAGTTGTCCTCTGTCATTATGTTTGGTGGAGTTGGTATGGTTTGCAGTGCTGTTGAGGAAGTGTTAGGTGCTGGACAGTTTGTTTGGGAGGTAGATGCTTCTGAGGCTGGCAATTTGTGGGAAGGTGAACCTTCTATAGGGAGGATTTGGTTGCTATCATGTTTTGGTGAAGTAGGTGTGGTAATTGGTGTTTCAGAGTGAATTGGGGATGATGGGTTGTCGCGGCCAGAAGGGCTTTGTGATCCTGAAGAGTTCAGACCTGCCCAGTGATTGTTCTCTGGAGCTCTCATCCATGCACCAAATTGTCCTTCATGAAGTGAGTTAGAACGTATGTCATTCAACCTCTCAGAACATGCTCTATCAAGGTGACCAATAAGGCCACAGTAGTGACAGTGGTTAACCAACTTTTCATATTTGAAGCAAACACTCACCAATTGGTCATCTAACCGGAGGTTGGCACAACGTGGAAGAGGTTCTGTGAGGTCGACTGTGACCAACAAACGCATAATCTTCCCGCCATGGTTTCCTGCCCCCACTATCACTACATTTTCCGTCCGCTTAAAAACTTTCCCAATTTTCAAGCCCACCTCCGTACTGAGCCAGTCCAGTGGTACATTGAACACTTGCACCCATAGCTTGAGCTCTTGAAATGTGGGATGTTTAATTGAGAGACCCCTCTTCCATTCTGAAAGAACCAAGTACTGATTCTTGAAGGTCCAGTTGACCCCTTTTGCTACCTTCTCCTTGTCATCTGATCCTTGGAAGATAAATTGATAGTAGTTGGGCCCTAGTTCTTTAATTTCGAGAGGCTGAGATAGCCTCCAAATGTTGCTCATTGCACGCTTAACCCCTATCCAACTGGTCTTCCTATCACCAATGATTTTCCCGAACAGGCTCCGTTGACACTCATCTGCACTAATTTTGATATCATCCTGACAGATATCGATAAGAGTGTGTTCCTTTTCAGAAAGGGAGAACCCCTGCAATTTTTGAGAGAGTTCTTCATCTTGCCCCACACAGTTTGGAGTTCCCATTGAACCCTAATTTGCGGAGTTCTGAAAAGAAATCGAATTGTCAATCAGAATTCAGGAAGAGAATGAAGAGTGCCATAATGGAAGCACATCAAAGAAAATGAGATTCCTCAGCAAGAAATCGACCGCTCAACAGCAACTGAAAGCTCCCCGTCGAGAGAAAGAATCCGT